AGTCTGAGCTCTTCTGATTAGGTAAAGCTGTCCTCTTCTGGACTGACTTCTGTTTAATTGCATAATCCTTGATTCATGAGAAAAATGACTGACCTTGTGAGATGCTCAGTTACTAGACTGTTGGGTATTCTGGAAGGAACACATCTTTTTCCTTTGCATTTTGTTTGAAATATTTTTTTCTCTTACAGTTTTGCACATGTGCAGAATGGAAACAAATACCAAAACCTTACTGTCTGCATTTTGGCTGAATTTGTTTCTCCTTTTGCGTAGTACCACCTTAGATTTTGAGGTCTGTGCATATGGTGCTTGTTTTATAAGGGACTGTTTGTGGGGGTTCCTTCAGGCTGTCACCCTGTGCTTTTCTCCAGGCTGACTGTTAGTGTCAGAGGGAAGGGGCTATTGTAGGTATTTGTCCAAAACCCACAAGTGGTAAAGATTGCAAGAGCCTTGTGCTTAAACTTAAGCCACGTGTCTAATTTTTGGTGCCTAAAACAGGGGAAAGTTAAGTTCATACCGAAACTGTTCAACTGAAGCATCGAAAAAAATCATTTTCTTTTTTAATTTTTCCTCAGAGGGAGGATGTTCATACTGCAACACCCAGGTGAATATGTAGTGTAAGCTGCGGAGATCATCATCATCCTGTGGTGCAAAACGCAATATGCTGCTTAGCTGTGCATGTTTCTGTTCGCTCTGCTTTCAGCTGACAGATTAATTTCTGTTGCTTGTGTTTGGGTATTGGCTGGGTTGCTGACGTGCTGAAAAGCCTGACTGTACTGAGCCCTTGTTAGGCAGCGTGGTGTGGAACTGGGATCTCTGGTGCTGCTTGCGTGTGCTTTAGCAGAGGGAGGCAAGGATTTAATTCAATCTGTTCTTGTTCTTTTTGGGTAAAACGAAGTTTAGGTATGTTCATATTCTTAATTTTTATTTTGGTATGAGGAGTTTTTAGTACTGCCTTTTTTTTTTTTTTTTTTTTTTTTTTTTTTTTTTTTGTGCAGGTCTGGGTTAAATACAGCAAACTTAACCGGCCTGAGCTAGTGAAGCAGGTATTTTACCTGAATAGGAAAGAATGCGCTGTTCAGAGACCTTTTGTACTCACAGGCTTGTTCTGTGATTAATGGCGTGTGCTGTGAGCTGTGACCTGTTAGGAAAGTACTGTTACAGGTAGAGGAAATCCAAGGAATTCGGACAGAGTCCCCTTGATTCATTTGTATACAATGTGTGTAGTGCATAACAAAAATGCCAAGTTCCTGTGGAAATTAATTTGAACAAGTCACCCTTTGTTTTGCGAGGGACAGAGTTTAATCTATTCTAGATCTGGTCTTCTGGATTTATGAGGAGAAATGGGCTTCCTTTTGTGATGCTCAAGTGGTTTGTCTTGAGCAGTGTAAGTAGATAGTGCAAAATGATGATCCACGTCAGCTTTGGATGGTACAGAAAATTGAGGAAAATGTCCTGAAACCTTTGCCCTGTTGCCATATTCTGATGAAAGATTATTGCGAAGTAATGCTGATTTAATTTGTTTTGCTTGCTGATCTTTGCCTCAACTATCCCCTTTAATTTGGAGGAAATGCATTACCTGAAGAAATCAACTGTGAAAGGGTTGTCCTAATGCTGGAAAAATAGGTGCTGTGCTGTGTGAGTCATGATTGGTGCTTGCTGGATTTTGGATGGCAGCTGAAGAATCTGGGGTTTGCTGCCGTGTATGAGGCCAAAATTTGAATGCCTTAAATTGCGTGATACTGTTAGCAATAATGCACAGAGTGGAGTCTTTCAGCATTATCACTGACATGAGAATTACTTCTTTTGGGAGGCAAGATACAAATAGACACAGGCTAACCTTTAAGCAGAAAGCCCTGTTGAGCTGAGTGCTCTTTCAGCCCCTGCAAGTATTAATAAAATGGCCAGCAAGCAATATGTAAAGTAATAAAACACTTGGGCAAGTTCTGTATATTTAATTCTCTTAGGAGAGATTGGATACAACACAGCTAAGCCTACTGCAGCCCACTTCTGTCCCACGTTGTGACTTATTTCTGACACCGGCGGTAGAAGCAGGTGGTTGGTGCCAGATGATGCAGCTCCAGGCATGGAACTTGGGGATCAGGTTAACCTCCTGTAATGCACTTAGGGCACGTGTGCTCGGTGCAAAGCACAGCCTGCAAGTATGTGAGTGCTGCTGCTGTAACTGTGGGGCCATGGCTTTGCTGAGTCTAAACAGCCGACAGCCGGATTTCATGCTTGGGTTAGGTATGGTAACAGCGGGTGTAAGTGTAATGAGACTAAGCCCTGTCGCAGGGTAAAGGCTAGTAAAATGTGAAATTCCTGGTGGGGAACAACCCAGGCAGCAGTGAGAGTGAAACTGTCCTGACAGGAGTACTTCTACAGCAAGAATCTGGCAAGAGCAGCTCTCATGGAAGCAGCCACCTCGTGCTGTCATTGTGGTTCGCACAGAAATAGTCCTTGATCATGGGTGGAATTTTTCACTCTGTGGGTCAGGTGTTTGAGTGGTCTCTCCTATTACACAGCTTCTGGCTTTTTTTTTTTTTTCCTCAGAGGACAAGACAGGTGGTCAGCATCCTCTCTCCAAAATAAAAATGTCCTGAGAATGTTTGAGCACAAATAAGTGTTGCTTAGTAATCAGTGAGGTACTTGGAATTAAAGGGCTAGTCCCCGGGCATGGGTACCCGGTCCTATCCCAGCAGATTCCCGTGGCACAGCCCAAGAGAATCATTTGAGGCTGTGCAAATGGTGTGGGGAAGGAGCCCCTGTCTTGCTCAAGTGAATTCCAGTCATGTTCAGCGAGGCTGAGGATGAAGAAATTGTCCTGGCACAGCTATGGCAACAAAAAGCAGACTGGTGAAAGGTGAAAGGGCTGGTTCTGCCTTGCCAAAGAAAGCTCCAAACGCTGCTGTTGCCCACAGCAGTGCAGTACGAGTCTTGTTCAATAATTCATGTTGGTGGGGATTGAGGGTCTGCAGCATACTCTGTGTGATTTCTTACTGAAACAGGCAAAAATGCCAGCTTTTTGCCCCTGCTAATTACTGAAATAAGTGCAATGAAGCAGCAAAATCTTGAACGGGATAAAATATTTCACAGGAAATCAAACTCAATATATGGAACAAAACTTTGATAGCCTCCGAAGGGCTACTGCTCTGGTGGCTGCAATACATTAACAAGGGTGGGAGTTCCTTTTGTGGACGGGGAGGAGATTTAAGGGAAAGAACTTCTGTCCCTACCACCTTTTCCTTCTGCGAAAGTGAAGCAGAAGCAGAAAAGTCCCTTCCCACAGTTGCACGTAGTCTTGGTTAAGATTTAGGAATGATATTGTGTGGTTTTGAATCCCGGTTGCCTGAGGAGGAAGCTGAAAGTGAGTTCTGTGAGTTGACGGGGGCTGTGGGTTGATGGGGGCAGTGAGGGTACAGGTGGCTTCAGCGTGTGGTGGCACCAGGTGGCTCAAGGACTCAGGTCCAGGTTTCACATCTCCTTCCTCCTTTGTAATACGGAATCAGCTCATGAGAGGAAAAGGGGGTGCAGCTCTCCTTATGCAGGTCTTCAAAAAGTAAACCGTGGCTGTCTATTCTGTAGATGTTTGTCTTTCAGAATTAATTGTTTTGACTTTTTTTTTTTTTTTTTTGATTTAAGTGGGTATTTGTGGAAGGTGTTCCGATTGTGTGTGCCAGGTGTATAGACACCAAGGTGATAGGAGCTCCAGAAACTGAAGTTTTGCTCAAGCTGGTAACTTACATGAGAAGCAGAGCAAAAAGGCAAGAGTAAAATAAGATCTAACATTTGGGGATCAAAAAATAAAATAATAAACTTGAACCACTTCCCCCTTGTTCTTGCTATTGCAAGTCTTCCTTTTTTTTTTTTTTTTTGATACGTTCAGTTATATAGGTCCAAGATTCCACAGTTTCTGATGCTCAAAGTTCTTGTGAGCTTTGTTTTCAAACAAAACTTTGAGGCAGCCCATGCAAAACAAAATATTTTGGTTTGGATCAACAAATATTTTCTAACCTGAAACTAGTATTTTTAAAGGTTCAGACTGTTGAACAATGAAAACCAAAGCATTGCCAGATTGAATTAGATGTTTTTATCTGACAGCATGCTTAAAATTCACACAGCTGGATTCTAGGCACTCTCTTAAAGAATTCACGTCATTTCTACCTGAAAATATACCTTAATGCAGTTTCATCCAGGAGCTGCTTTAAAACATAGGGGATCTTGATGGAGAATCACTCTCACACTCACATCCTTTCTGTTTTGGTTTTGTTACCACAATTTTGCAAGGCTGGTTGGAAACGGCAATTCCTCCCAGTGCATGACCCTCGGTAGAGCCTCCTTAGCATGTTCAGTGCCTGGGAATCTTCCATGTAGCATGTGTATTCATCCCAGTCTAAAATCTGTCCTGCACGTTTAACTGTCTTTGTGGTGTCTTTGTTGGTTCCTGGACCTGAGGCCATTCATCACCCCCTGTGTCATTTTGGAAGCAGCGCTGCCCTCCAGGAACTCCCTTTTAGCAGCTTTTGCTCCCGTGAGCCTGAGCTCCAGCACCAGCCGGCTCCCAGCTCTGGTGCCACCCGCTGCCACTGCCTTGGGAGCTTTTCCTCAAGCCCTCTCCTTCTCTGCCTGTTCTGTGAGCAGACAGTGGGACAAAAAACCCCTAGCCTTGCCAGAAGGCTGGAAGTCCAAGTTCGCTTGTTCCCTCCCCAAGCAGGGGGGCTGTCCAAGCAGGAAGGTGGGACGAGGGGAAAGCCTGTCCAATTGGCTCCCACAGAAAGTTATTTTCCCTTCTTACCCTTGTCATTCGGTTGATTTGTGGCAGTGGCATATTCGGTAATATAAACCCTGTCCCTCGGGATTAAGAGTGCAGTTACACTTGGAGCAGCTGCCTGCACATGTCTTATCCGCTACAGAAAAAGAACATGCTGCTGCTCCTCCTCTTTCCTGATTTTATCAGTATCGTTTCTTCCCTCCTCCTTTGTCTCTCTCTGACCTCCTCACAGCTCCACGCCGCTCCATACTTGCTTCGTCTCTTGAGAAGACCACAGCTGAGTTTCCCAGCACAGCCCCAGGAGGTTTTTTCCTGAACCAACGTTAGGCAAAGAGGACAGAAAGCAAAGGAAAAAACAAAACAAACAAACCTGAAAGTGAGCCAAGCTGTTGCAAGCAACCCTTGTGTTGGTGCTAAACCTACTGCTTTGAGAGCCGGGGCAGGGGAGGGACCTTGTTTTGCAGAGAGGGGAAGGACAAAAGAAACTTGAAACTGGCTTCCCTTGTGGCATGTCTGTCCTGAGCACCCCTGCCTGTTAAATGAAAGCACCTGAGCACCAGGAGGCTTCCTGCGAGAGAGGGAGGGCGAGAGCTGGACTGCGGGAGGGAGGGGAAGGGCGAGCTGTGGTTTTTGCGGTGTGGTTTACACGGAGATCAGAGCTAGCGTGCCTGGGGGTGGGAGCAGGAGGAGAAAGGGCATCTGATGCCAGCCGCCAACATGACAGAAACCCTGCAGCTCCCTGCACTGCAAGTCCCAGAGCAGCAGGTGGTGGAGGGCGGCCGTGCCTGGTCCAGTTCGTCCACCCCCACCCTGCGCAGGAAGCGCTTCAAGATGAGGCGGATGAAGAATGTGCAGGAGCAGAGCCTGGAGGCCAGCAGGTATCAGGATTCTCCTTCCTCCAGCAAGGAATACCTGCAGCTCCCCTCCATTGAGATCACCCCGTCCAGTGACGAGGACACCCCCTGGTCCAACTGCTCCACACCCAGTGCCTCCCCGCGGCGCAAGCGCTTCCTCCTCCGGAGGTGGCTGCGTGTGAGAGAGAAGAAGGAGTACAGTGAGAGCAGGTATGTTCTTGGCCACTCTCCCTTCCCTGCTTCCGAAAGAGCCTTTCCACAGCGGTTAGGGCCTGTTGTTCCCCCACAGGTTTTGGTGGGATTCTCCCAGGAGCTTTGCCCTCACCTAGTGGCTGGAATGGGTAAAGTGGTTGTTGGAGTTGGTGATGCCACACCAAATGGCCTAATCCTTGTGCCCAGACAGCGGGCATGATAGAAACAGTAGCGCTAGGGTCATCCACGTCCCTTTTAAAGGCAGTGCAGATCCGGTGGAAAGGACTTAGGTGTGAGTGAGGGAGACTGTCCCTAAAGAATGGGTGGCAAGGCTAACATTGAGGCATCCTTCAGAGACCTTTGGGAGAGAGTGTGGCAACATCTCTCGGGGGATTACCAAGACAGGGAGTGAAGATGCTAAGCCTTGGTCAGTGTTTGTATTTGCGGTGTTCATATTTATCCCCTGAGACGTTCTCTGAAGTCCTACACTCACTTGCTGACATTAGGACAAAGAGGAGGAGATGGAGACATGGCAGCCTTGTGGTTGTTATGTGGGTCTGCGTATCAGGATGTCTGGGTTCCATTCTTGGCTGCTTTCCAGACTTGAAAGTCACTCTGTCTTTTGGCTCAAAAGCAGAGGACGAATAATTCTAAGACCTCCAAGAGCCTGTCAACACAGCAAAATTAATGCCCATGAGTTACAGTGTCACCATTTGAAGAAAAAGCTGTGCGTTATCTAATACTGTGCAGGTGCAATTGGTGCCTACATCATAATGTAGTTTACTCTACTTTTAGTGCCAGAGCGGAACAATGTATGTCTTGTGAAGGACCTAAAAACTACAAGACACTTTTTTCATGAGAAATTAGTGTGTTATACATCATTATACTAGCTTAGTGCTGACTAATTTTTCTTTTGTTGCACCTCTGTGTGGGTTTATTCCTGAATGTACGTACCACACTTGCATTAAAAAAAAAAGACAGACATGAAGTCCCTTACTGCTTCTGCTCCCAGCTTACCAGGTTGTCTCACTGACTGTTACCCTAGTATTTACAGGACAGAGCTTTCTTCTGTTATGCCCTTTGAGTATGTGGTAACTTGTCACACAAGTTCCCTTTTGCAAGGTCAATCCATCATTTTATTAATTTTCAGGGAAGCTTCAGCAATAAATGCATGCCACCAAGGACTTTGAGCCCTTTCTGAAAGTTAGCATTGAAAAATATTGCTTGGTTGAGGAATATTACTGGATTTTGCTTAACTGTAGTGATGTGATTCAGGCTATAGCATTGCAAACATGCGAAGGATAATGCATAGGGCATATGCTGAAGTGTCAGAATCACAATTAAGTTCTGAATTTTAACAGAACAGCTTTTACAGCTGAAGAATCTTCATTTGGGTTTATCATTAGTGAAAGTCTGAGAGAGCAAGACAGATTTCTTTGTAAATGTGTAAAACAACAACAACAACGAAAATAAACAAAATCAAACCCACGCCACCACCACTTTGTATCTTTATGTACACATGATATTTCCATGGCTGTGCTGACAGCTGTCTCCTTATTAATCTTTCTAAAGATGTTTCTGCCTTAACCTTGGTTGTGTTTTTGAAGTGGTGACTGGAAAAAAGCTGAAGCAGTTGATGGATTAGGTGGCATTAACATACCAAAGCCAGCATGGCACCTCCTTTCTTCATAAGTAGCAGGCTCCAAATCTGTCCCCTTTGCAACGGAAAACATATGATGTTTTCAAATGGAATTTTTCCCTTCCCAGTCCAGAGGGGAAAAAACCTAGATTGGCGGTCAGTGTGTGCTGAGTGTCTGGGCTCAGAGGCAGAGCTCATCACCAGGCTTCCAAAAGCTCAGCAGGCATAGAAACAACACAGAGCGCGCAGTCTCTGTGGAGAGCTTGTCACGGGAAGAGCGATGAACCCTAAAGGGATTTTGTGGCATTAATTTGAAAGAGATGTAGCAGCTACGGGGTAGTTTACTGCACCCTGAGGCTGTTGTATGTGAAATGCTGCTCTAAAATTGCAAGGCAGGGGGCTGGCTTTCTGGGAAGCAGACTGATGCTGCCCATCTACCTTCCCCTCCTGAAGACTTGGTCATCTAGAGCACCAGCTCTTTCTTGCTGCTGTTTTATTTGTGATGCTGTTCTTAACAGATGGCACCTGTCACTTACTGTGCTATTCATTTAAGGGAAACAGACCTGTACGACTCCTGTGCAGCGGAGGCTGAAGCATTTTGTCTAGTGGTTCCTCCACCAAGCCCTGCACGGTAATGATGTTTGAGCTGTCCAGCTGGTTAATTGTGAGTGCCCTAACAGTGATTCCCAGTGTGGTCAGTGTGGTGTGCGTCTTCTGGTAACAGAGACATGCTGCTAAGTACCTGACTTCCCAGGCTTGTGTTCCCGAGTTTCACCTGGTAAAGTGTGCAGCCATCAGCATGTTTTTCCCATTGGAAAAAATGAATGCTGTTCGCTTCTGATTGCTCCATCTTCCTAATTGAATTGTTGTGAAGCACTTTTTTTTTTCTTGAGTCTAATAACCTTAACCCTGTCATGGGGCCAGCTAGCTGCCTGCTTGGCAGGGTTTTCCCAGGAGAGCTGGTAGCTGAGAGCAAGCTGTGCACCAGCTGATTCATTCCAGTGATGCATGTGTTGCTCACGCCCCTGAGCAAGAGCAATAGCTCTGTGACCATTAGCATACAGTAAGCATCCAAGTGAATAAACATTTGTTTTCAGGACTTAAAAGCTGTCTGTAATGCTCCGGGTCTGATGAAAGCTGGCTGTTTTTTTTTTTTTTTTTTTTTTTTTTTTTTTTTTTTTTTTTTTTTTTTTATCTGGAAACTCTAGCCTATAAAATGTTTTATAACACTGGTTAGTTTTTAATAACCTGGATAATTTTAATGGTTGTTTGCCTACTGGTTCTCTACAAGCTGTTAGGTGGTTGATAGTGAGAGCAAAAGAGTATTTCTTTTAATTAAAAAGGAGAGGGGGCACATAAGAGCCTAGCTTGCCTATAACACTGAGCTCTCTTCAAGACGAGACAGGAGGAAGAAGCCATCTTTCTGATAGATGGTTTTTCCTGTTAACTTGTGCTTGTACAAAATCATGATGATCCAGACTCCATTTGCTCTGGGGGACTTGCATGGTCACTCAGTAACTTGAATTATTTCAGAAGGGATATAGACAGCTGCTTAGCTATGCTCTTTGTCCATTGTTTACTACCCAGTTAATAACAGGCATTGCTTACCTGCATACGGCTTTGTAAAGTACGAATCCTGCACACAAGGGCACAGAACTTGATTGAGGCTGTCCTCACAGACTGCATCTGGTAGCTTTTGGCTATGCATGCATTATTATGAATGTGCATTATTGATGTGGGGGATGTGTCCGTCTGCTTTAACTGATTTATTTACTTAAAGCCACCCTTTCTAGTAATGTCTGGGACTACAGTGATTCTGAATGTGTGTAATGCAAGAACTGTAGAGAGAGAAGATGACTTGGGCTCGAAGCACTGCTCTCCTTTTTGCCTTAAAGCTGGTATTGAAATGAAATCTTGTCTGTCCTTTCCCTGGCAGAAGCTGAGAGTAAATAGGTGCCCCTGCACTGCTGTGGCCCGACTTCAACTCTCGTGTGAGTGCTCCCCACCAGCACACGTGTAATAGTTGAGGTGCAGTAAATCGCTTGCTCTTGAACAGTTTGCCATGAGTTATTCATGCAGGGCACAGGTTGTGCTGGTGGTAATCGGACTGTGCTCCACTCCTGTGGGGAAAAATAAGCCAGAAAGCAGAAGATGGAAGAGGTTTCAAGTCACGCTTTGCTTGTCATTATTCCTTGCTGGATTTTCTCTCCTGACATGTCCGAGAAGTTGTACCTTGATGCCTGCAGTCCCTTCCCAGAGCTTCATTTCGTCTGAGCTCCCCAAGATAATGTTTTTTTTGTTTGTTTGTTTGTTTTTTTCCTGTTAGCACTTGTCCAAAAAGTCAAATTCTCATCTGTTACAGCATCCAGGACAGCTTATTAAATATAAAATGTTGGTGCTCTGAAGAACTATTTTGTTTTTAAAGTGGATTTTGTTGGATCAATATGGAGTTGATTGTTCTGCAGTTCTTGACACTTCTGAAGATGGATGTATTTGGTTTGGTCTTCTGCTGGAGTTAAGTGCTAAATGACAGGTTCAGCTAAAGGGAAAGGACTTGCCCAAGTCCTAAAATGACTCTAGCATCTTTAACTCAAGCTGTTAAAAATGAGGTATATTATTAAAAGCATTTCATCTGATCTGACGAAAGGGTGTGTGATGAGGAGATAGAGGTCTCTTGAATTTCCAGACACAAAACCATAGAGGTTTTACAGAAGAAATTTTCACGGCTTATCTGATAGTAGGAACCAGATGCCATGCTGGGTGATTTTTTCATACTGTTCAGCAACGTGCTTTGTGTGGCTGTTACCATTCACATTCACCGTCAGAAAGAGGTAACATTTCCATTTTTTTTCATTAAGGAAAAACATTCCTATGTAAAATCTCTTGGTCAGCCTAGTGAGACACATCAGGTGAGAGGGAACTGCTGATTTGTTGGAATTCACACTAAAAATATTATTATAAAGATATCTTAAATATTCTGATTTTTAATGAAAAAATCTTTAATTTCAGGTAGTTCATAATGCTTTTGCTTTGCTTACTGAAGTTGCAATTTAGTCTGTTTCTGTAAAATAATGATAATCTTTTTCCTTCCACACCCAGGTAAAATACTGTGGTGCTTTCTAGAGGAAAAACCTCTAATGAATGCTTGAGATAGTGCTGTTTCTCCCCCTCCCCTAAATAACTGCTAAAGGTGAAAAATAAATATCAAAAGCTACAAGAGTAATGGCTGTAGAGCTTCTCGCATCGTGGAAAGGCAAATAGTGCTTGTGTTCTCACCTTTGGGAAGGCAGCTGGCGGGAGGTGGCATCAGTGACAGCATTTACTGACTCGGAAGAAGGACTGGAGGATGGGAAACGGTTCGAGTCCCACGCTGCTTGTGATTGAAAGGAAGACTGAGGTGGCTTGGTGGCCTGAGGTTTTGTTCATTCCATGCCATGTAATTGCTGAGAACTTGCAAAAATGAGTACTTCTGCCAATGGTTTTTCTCAGGTTGTCTGGTTTCTAGAAGCTTCCACGTTTCAGTTTTAGACTCGAGAGGAAGTGGGGATCCTGTCTGAGATATCAGGCTGCGGCAGGGAGTGCTCTGTGTGCTGCTCGAGGCTGCCAGCCTGAGGCTTTATCGCTTTTTTCGTAAATTCACGTTGAATTCGCACCGGTGTGAGGAACTGGCAGTTCCACAGGATGTCTGCAGTAGAAGAGGTCAATGGGTTGAATGTTTCATGGTCGGCTTGTCGGTGGAGTTGGTTAATTGAGGTTTTTGGGAGGATGCAGGTCAGACGTGGTATTCTGCAGCATAGAGTCCTGCTGGCAGAAACTCACAATACTGTGTCTAAATTTTTGGAATACATCTTTCCATGGTTTCCTCTTATACTACATTAAAAAAAAAATAATAATAATTAATTTAATTAATGTAATTTTTTTAAAAAATGTAATTAATGTAATTTTTCTCCTTTTTGAAGATGCAAGTTCAAATAAGGCCTCGCTTGTGCTTCCAGTGAACTGACTTTTTGGAACTGCAGCATGCATCTCTTATGTAGAGTACTGAGGTACTGTTTGCAGAGGATATGGTTTTATTTGATAATCTGTGCCAAGTGCCTGTGAATCTTACCAGCACTGTTTTGTTGGCTGAATTTTGCTGCCTTTGTGCAGCTGCTTGTGTTTTTTTAAATATTTATCTTTCAGGATTTGTGTGCTTTAGGGTGACCATTCACATGAGCATCAAAACTGACTCATTTGCAAACAGCCAGGAACCTAAATGCTGTTGATTTTACCTAGTCAGCAAATATTTCTGGGACCATCTGAACTTCATGTATACACAGTCCTGCGCTTGCCAGGATTTACCTGTCCTTTGTGTTCACCACCACAGTTCTTCGCTGGACTGCCAGGAAGGAAGGTTGCCCTGCTCCAGGTTCAGTCCGACTCCAACTGAGTGTGACTTCAAAGAGCGCCAATTAGTACTAATTGTGTTGGTCTGTGTGATAGATGCAACTGTTAGGTAGGGATTTGGCCAAGGCAGCTCGCTTATTCTCTTGCTCACTATTAATGGGTTTAGCCTGTAAACATTGCTCCCCCTGCTTTATCAAACTGAGTTAACAGAACACAAAGGTCTTGAGGAAGAAGCGCCCCTTTGGTTTTTGGACATGCTGGTAATGTCACACAGGCTCCAGCTTGTGTGGGCTCTGTTTATTTGGTTTTTTTGTTTGTTTGTTTAAAAGTCCTTAAGTTTTCACTTTACAGCTCTGCCATTCATTCATGAGCTTGGGTATGAGTTTTCCTCTCCCCTCTGCATTTCCATTTCAACTTCAGTTCATGTAATCAAGGTGTTTGCCACCTATCTATGTATATATACAAAGAAACTCCTAAGTCCTTAGGTGGAGCTGGGTTGCACAAGCCAAATGGGCACTGGGATCCTTAGAGGTGTTGCGGTGCCATCTGCCACCTGCCTCCCATGGGGCTTGGTATCAGTGCGGTGATTACAGTTCACTGAACACGAGCCTCATCTTTAATAAAGCCCGGTGTTAGCTTGCTACCTTCAGTAACAAGCATATGTTACCCCTGACAACTTGGCACCTGTATGCTGAGAGTGGGAGCTTGCAGCACCGTCAGTGCTGGTGCTCTGACTTCAATTCACAGGCTGAAAGCTTTAAGGCTATCGAAGGACAGCCCTTCTTGATGAGTGAGGCTGTTCGTTATCTGATGGAATAACAGATGGTGATTTCCTAGCTTGGCAATTTCCTCTTCATCACCCTTGCTCCCTTCTCTGTCCCCTCCACCTTGCAGTTCCCTGGTGCGTGTAACAGCCCCGTTGCTGCTGCAGCCATAGAAACCCGGGGCTGCTGATGGCAGGGATTTAATTTGCTCAGGGCATTGAGATGCTGCTGGGCAGCTGGGACTGGGAGGTCTTTCTGCTTCCTCGTGAGGAATAGAAGGGGGCTACATGCTGGGAAGGATGGGAAGAGCAGGAGGGTGAAATGGAAGGTAAAATTGTTCTGTCTTTAATGAGCTTCTCCAGCCCTGTGGGGGGAAAGTTGGAGGAAACTTTTCTTCTGGCACACCTGAGGCTTGCAGTTTAGGATTATCTGGTAGTAGTATCCTACACTTAAGTTGCCATGGAAAGATGGGGAAAAACATTTACCAGAGTTTTCAAATGAAGACTGTGGTTTTTTGCTTTGTAAAATTTAGTGTTTAAAATACTCCATTTTTTTTTTTTTTTTTTTTTTTTCAGCTGAATTAAGGGTTTTGGCTTAAAATACAAGAATCGTATTTAAAAGGGATGATCAACTTAATTTATTTTTTTTGGTCAGCTTGGAAGTAACCATAACACACCATATTACTACTGCTATGCTTTTTCTGGTGGCAGTTTGTCAGACATGCTGGACTTTGTGAGGTGTGTGCTTTAATGCAGGTAGGTTCGTGTCTTGGTGCTTGCAGCTGGAAGGATGGAGGAAAATAAACACCCTGTAGTTTGGATAACTAAGCAGCTTTGTGAATTTTAACAGAAGCCTTGATGCAAGTTCACTTTTATTGCTTAGAACCTGCATATCTTTTAGTTTCACAGAAAAATTGAAAATATTCCTATCATGATATATCAGATATTAGCTTTGTGTTCCAGGAACAGTTGCCACAGTTGCAGAAAGCACTTGTAGAGGTTGTATACCTGTCAATTACCTATCCTACTTCTGTGAAATGCTTAGTACTGAACCCAAAGCCTATGAATACAGGGTTTAATTAAGAAAAATGAATAGGGAATATTCATCTGTGTTCAGACTTGAAAAGTTCTATGTGAAATTATTCGCTGAATAGCTGTGACTAACAATAACCTTCTGAAGACCACAGACTCCTGTGAATAACTGATTCTCCAAGCTCGTGAATTGATTCCATCTTCCATGACAGCCGTTTCTTCCCCATTCCCTTGCTCACCCCGATCATCCATCACTGTTGAAAGAATTTCCTTTGAATAAAAGCCTGCCAGACTCACACCTGCAGATACACAAGTACAGTGAGATGTTTTCTATCACCTTTTCAAAGCATTGTCAGAAACGAGAGGCAGAGTTGGAGAGGGAGCACTAGTTTCTAGTGGAGTCATTTATCAGATACAGCTATCCACACGTTTCAAGTTAGGAAACACAAGTTGAGACCCATTTCTCATTGCTTCTGAATGCGTTTGTAGTTGAATTCCTTTAAAGAAATTGCCCTTCCTCTGATTTAAGGACAAGTAATGGCATCTGTTATAAGTGCCAGACTAGATGCTTTTTCCCACCCATCCAATAATGTGTGAGTGCTATGAGAGCATTGTTTAAGTGTGGTTAAAGCAATCTGTGTGTGTTCCTGCCTTGCTTTGGTGGCATGGATCATGCTGTATTGATACCTTCCAAGGTGGAATTGCTGAAGATTCAGATCTATCAAAGTTTGGCCTGGGTTGGCAAATTTGTTAGGACTGGTAAGTGGAAAGCAGTGGGAGACCACACGAGGAAAAAACAATGTCACGTACTCTTGCTTGTGATCGTGACTTTTCATAACGCTTCCAGACATATCTGGAAGGTACAGAATTCCCAGAAAACCCCTGCTGTGCAAACATTGACACGAGTGTCTGAACTTTGAAATCTGGACAGGCACCTTAGTAGAAGATCTGCTTAGCTTTAAAAGCCTATTTGTGCGTAAAATGAGAGATTGGCACTGCCTTACCATTTAGACTGAAATCTGAGTAAAATGAGATATTGCACCCCCTGCCCCCCAACAAAAAAGCAAGAAGATAATAGCACAAAATGTAATTTAAAACTTGCTGAGACCAGGTCTGAGAAATGTTTAAATATTTAACTTTGAGTGGCATAAGGTCGGGGAGATGAATTGTGATGAGCATTTTTAAAGTACGTTTTGCACTTTGATCTCTAGTATCAGCAGTCTACTCAAGTTCACTTTTGGCAGGATTTGGAAGAGGTGATTTTTGTGTGCGACTATCTCATGAGCATTCATCTAAGTGCATGTACATAGGTCACGAAGTTGATGAAAACTGTTTAACACTTGTAACGTATTACAGATGCTAGAAAAGAGACAACAGAACAAGCATCCTTAGGAATGGACTGTTTTCTTCTGTGCTTTCTTTTACTGATTTACTAAGACTTTTAAGCAGCTTTTAGCCTTCTCTGTAAATATAAAACCTCAATGTCTGTACGTAAAGCTTTCCCCCATATTACTTCTCAATACAAACCACACCTTTCTTATCTCCTTATAAATATAGCCAATACAAGAGCAGCAATTTGTTGTTCCACCACCTCAGAGGAACACTGTCATCTTAAAAGCAGGTTAACTTGCAGTGGACCGAAAAGTGTAATGAAACAATAGCTCTGCATTTCAAGTGCTCTCTGCTTTTTAGGGGGTTTAACAGCTGCACTGTCTGGTAATCAAAACATTGAAATGGTTTTTCTCTGTGTGAAGAGCTCTCAAACTTGTGGAAAGCTTCCATGCAAAACACTGCTGCAGTGAAGTAGGAGGGGGAAGAACTGATCTCCTTCTTCTGGTGTTTCTTTAATTTCTTGTCTTGAGCATTCCCGAGTGATAAGGAAAGGGGACAAGGTGTTGTACTGCGATGTGTTGTGACATCTGTATTCCATTAAATTTTAACCCTTGGTTTGAAGGGCTGTCTGAACAGGGCATTTAATGACAGTTGAGTGAGCATGAAAAGGTCTAAGGTACGTCTTGTATAACTGTCTAAGAGTAAAGTTTCAAGTGAGATTCCCAGCATTGCAGGAGCTGTAGCTGGGCTGTGTTACATTGGGACTTTTTGGTAAGTTTCTTTTATCTGCTTAATCAAAACTGAACTGGCAAAGTTTTGGGAGAGGTTTTTTATTTATGAATTGACAAGTAGGAATAGTCCCTGGATCTTCAAGGGGAAGAGACAGGCCTTTTCCCCTCGCCTTTTTAGAGTAAGAAAGGAAAATGTTCATTACCAAGGGATGTGGTATTCACCTTAAAGCTTATGAACAGTCTCCCAAGAACACAAACTAATCAAAAGGATGTTTTTGCTCTGTGAAGAAAAAGATGGGGCTGGAGGGGGGGTTGAGTGGTTGGATTGCCCCTTTTTAAAAAAAAAAAAAAAAAAAAAAGAAAAAGAAAAAAGAAAAAAAAGCCGCTAACAAGCCACCGTATTCTTATACAGATTTGTTGAAGCAATGCTATTTAGTACCTGAGGATGTAGCTCTCTGTCGCTGACGTAGTTTCTGGTTCTAGTTCCTGTTCTGTCTGCTTAGTTGTTTCTTCGTGCCTTGGAAGTACCAAGACAATTACAGATGAACTTCTAAGCCTCTTCACACTTTGCTCTGTTAATTTCTGTGGTGGCAAAAGTAGTGCTTTTTGCATAGGGCTTAACAAATATGTTGACTTACCTGAAATGATAATTTTATTTATCCTTTCTGTACTGTAATTGAGTTGAAATGCCTAAGTAGATGTAGGTAAGAGGAGCTGTAACAATTTCTTCATGTGAGCACAGAGTACATTTAAAGAAGTAAAAGAAATGGGGTTTTTGGGTGAATTGATTTGAAGAGAGACAGAAGAGAAATGAACAAGTAGACTTGACAGAAAAATCTCACTATGGTGTTTTAGTGCTGTTTTACCCAAAAGTAGGTCTTCTGGAGGCTTAATGCTTTCTAAGAAGAAAAAAAAAATGCAGTATGGGCCTTTTTGAAACTGCTTCTGTGCCTTTGGTATGTGATGTGCAATCTATTACACAGATTTGTCTACACTGCAGTAGAAGCTGTGATTGCAGCATGCATCTGTATACCTGAACTGGTTTTATTCAAGCTGCTTAGGTTCTGCCAGCGGTGAACAGAGAGTGTTTTAGCATGGTGTGTGTTCAGGCAAATGCATCCAGTGTCCCAGGTGGGGCTGGACAGTTTGTGCTGAAGCTGTGTTGCCATGGCTCCATAGCCAGGGTACCCAGGCTGTGCAGATTAAGGATGCCCCAAGAATATCTGTGTTGTGCTGCAGTCGGGTATCTGAAGGCAGAATCAGACCTGTTGAGGGCTCAGAAGGAAAGCTCTTGCAAAGAAACACGAAGCTATAGAAATGAGAAGCAGGAACGCTGATGAGTCCCTGGAGCAGGCTGAGGCTGCTAGGAGGGAATAAAGGCAACATCATACAATGGATTTAAAAAAATAAAAATAAAAATAAACACCTCCAAATTATCCATTTAAAGGGGAAGAGTGACATCTTGTGGGCTCAACATGCAACTCTCCATTAGAAATTTGGTGGTGACCACTTCTGGCTGCTTTATCCTTAAAAAGAGTTCATTTTAACTGCTCTTTTGTCCTGCTGTCCGGAAGCGGGGGCATATGAACAGATAGTGGTTTGGTAGTTGAACGTTAAGCTGTATGAAACCATTGTGGGGTGGTGTGATGAAACACTCTGTAGACAACGTGCAAGGTTACTTCTGTATCTGAAAGTTCTTAGAAAAGCATTACTGACTGGAAGTAAGAGGCTTCGAACCAGTCACTCCTGTTGTATGTCAGATATGAGCTTACTTCCTTATATTTTTCTTTGTATCTCTAAATATATGAAGAATGAAGCTTGTGTTTTTTCTTGTTCTGGCTTTAAAATCAAAACGTTTCACAGGGACTTATCAAAATCTGTCTTAATTGCTTCTGTTTTCTATTGCAGCAGTCAGCAGAGCAGCCAGCAAAGCAGCCACGATGATGACTCGTCTCGATTCCTGAGCCCTCATATGCGTGACGACAGGTACGTCTGTTCATGCTCAACTAGGGGAAATTCCTGGAAACACTCAGTAAAATCAGATGGTCTGGGCTGACTGAGACCTCATTTTCCCTCTGTTTCTCAGTTATTTAACCAGAAATGTCACATACTTAAAAAAGCATGACTTAACCGGTCTTATCAATGCCTAAAAAAGGCATATTTTTCCATGTACTTAAAAGTAGAACTTGGGACAAACACATCCAGCCCATGACGTAGCCTAAATTTTATCCTCAGGCTCATTCTCAGACTAATTCCCTGAAACTTTATCTGGTATAGAAAGCTTCATCAAATCCCCTCTGTATTGATCATTAGCAGCTCTGATCCTTGAGTGTACAAGTGAAATTTTGTATGTAATTCTTGTCCCTACCAAGTACAATATTGAGACTGGCTATTGTATTTTAGATGTGATGTGTGGGGACAGTCCCCAGGTGTCTACAGCTCCTTTCTAGCAGCTCAGTAAAAACTACTGTGAAGTTTGAGAAGCAACTTAAGTTTCTTGTACTTAGGGTTGATTAATGACTACTTTAAAGTGCAGTGTTGGCACAAAAGCTGTTGAAAAACAAATGCTTATTTTTGTGTGTGATTTATTGTTGCTTTGCCAAGGACTATATGATTATTAAGACTTTCGCTCTATCTTGTAATTCATCTTGTGAGTCTGAAACCACTTTTTCTTCTGCTGTGCATGAATTATGAGCCCTGAACTGCTGTCACCTTTCTGTCCTGGGCCAGCTCCTGCAGGCCTGTTTCCCTAATAACACCTTTGGGCCCCAGTGTTTGGTCTGGTCTTTGGTTTCTGAAAGTCGTGTGATTTTGTTACTGCGTTGCACAGGGGAGTTGTTGCATTTTCCTTAATGTTGTGATCGTGGATCATAGCTGCTGCATAGGGGATTATGAGAAGCATCTGAATATGGCTTCTGCTCTGTGTGCTCTTATTGTGGCATAGTCAGAGAAGAGCTTTGTTTCAGCTCTGTTACTCAGTTATTCCACGCAAGCTGTCTCTGAGGTCGAAGGTTTTTCCGACTGGCTCCAGGAGGGTAAACTCTTACCGAACTCTTACCAATTCCCCACTGTGATATCAGAGGCCAATGGATTGAGTAAGAACTGAATAGCAGCTGAGGAGGCATCTGAGGAATTGACTCACTGGAGAGAACATCCTGACCCTGAAGAGCTAATTAATATCCCAACAGAGTTTGGCTCTGAATTAGCACTTGGTAGTTGCAGCTAACCTTTTCTTCCATATGTTTCACTCCAATTATCGGTCTCTCTGGTGCTGTGGAGCCTGGCATAATTGACTAGTGGGGAGTGATGTTTGCAACTAGTAAATAAAGAACCTGACAGCAAAGCAGATGGACACTTAGATTATACCTGGGCTTCCTCTGTGTAATGCATGCTGGTATAGCATTTCATTTTGGACTCTGTAGGTTAAATAAGGTTAGGCTTCATTAATACTCTGATGAGGGTTTTCTGGACATAGGAAGATGGGAATAATTTGGAAGTGCTGCAGGTTTCACATGTAGACTTTTTGAGAGCCTTTAGACTGGTGCTGAGAGCATCTTAGTGTCTGGAAGAGATGCTTCAGCTGGAGCACTGTTGGAGCTCAGACCTATTTATGCAGGGCCGGGGTGGTGGAGAGCACGCTGACCTCTCTGTTATCAGGGGACCTGCAACATTCTTGCTGCCCGCAATAAATTTCAAGTTGGTTTGGTTTCATGGAAAAATACTGATCCTAAAATGACCCATATGAAGGCAAGTAAATTGTCTTTATCTCTTTTTCCTTTGCCAAAGTAATTTCATCGAGCTCTGCTAGTACAGCTGCTTTGGATAGCAGTGACTCTTGTCCATGAAACTTGACAAAAATGTCTTTTGGTAGTGAAATGCATTTCAAGTTTCCTGTAAGATGTGAAGTAGGCTAATGAAATCTTTGAGTGCTTGCTGTTCCTACTAGCAAAGTTGAAGGTGGTTTCTGAAGCATCTTGAAGCTGCCAGGCTTTTACAAATGAACGAGGAGGTACTTTCTCACTGTCCTTATGTGGTGGTATTTTGACCAGTAACAATGGGTCCTCAGACCACAGGTTTCGAGTTCTTCTCACAGTCGAAATGGTAAAGACCTGCAGGCAGTTCCCTCTGCTTGTTTCATTGACTTACCATACAGAAGCTGTAAGTAAAAATAACAAGGGTTTCAGCAGTCCTGTGAGTTGTGGTAAAAGCTGAGCAGAAGAGGAGACAGCAAGAAATCATGTGGTGTATACCAAAGGGTGCACCTTCTCTTGGCATGCTGCCCCTGGTGTTGCAGGCAGGAGTCTGTGCTGCACTGGAAGGAGCAGAGCAGAGTGAGCAAAGATCTGCACCCACTTCAGTACGTCTGGAAAAGTGCTGAAAGCTACTCCAGCCCAAATAAAGGGATGCTGAGTTTTTATGTTGACTCTGAGATTTAAAATATATATATATGGAGAGGAATACATAGCTGAGGATGGCCGACACCGAGACTAGGCAGAGCCAAGATCTTAACTGCGTGCTTTTCCTGTAAAAGATGGTACCAGGGAATGCTGCTAGTGGAGTTAACTGCTCGGTGATGGACTTCCAAGGATCGTGCTCCAACCCTCAGGCTCTTTCGGAGAAGACTCAGTTTTGTTCTGCTGGCAGATGCACTCGGTTCTCCCCAGCAGTTGTGTTCCTTGAGGTGTGAGCGCTGCTGTTGGCTGGTGCAGTGAGAAGTACGGCCATGGTCCAGAACCCGTGCCCTGACAAGGTGTCCTGCAGCACCGCGGTGAAGCAGGGCTGCCACTTGCGTGTATCTTCTCTGAGGAAAAAGCTGGCCTTCTGCACAGTCATGTAAGTTGTCATGTGTCTATCATACCTGATTGTTTATGCTGACAGGGAGCCCATACAGCTTTTATTTTGTCTTGGGGTAAATAAATGCTGTGCAGGTATTTTTGGGGCCATGTAAGGGAAAAGAGGCAGGCTAGAAGGAGAGCTGGGTTTTGCCTGGGCTCAGGTGCCTGCTGTCTGTGTGAGCTTGGGTGAATTGTTTCATGTTCTGTCTGTGTAATGAGGAGGTCAATTCTTTTCTAACCTCAGGAAAACAGATAAAAAAGATAGTGAGTTAAGTCTGTGGGTTGCTCAGATGCTGAAACACCCCAACCACATGAGTGTGAAGATAAGCAGCGGAGCTGAGATGGTGTCCAAATAATTGTGCTTGCAGTAGCTGCTTCATTTAAACTAATTCAAAGAGTGGACAAGGTTGGGATGCAGACGGACAGAGACTTGGGTGAAATATGTGCACGTACACAGTCACTAGTCCCTGTAACAAGACAAGGTTATGTATGAATTGCCTTGAACTTTCATCTGAATGAAGTCTAAGGTCATGAGCCTGCTTCTGCTTGAACCAAGGGCTTGTTCTTTGTCATGACGTTGAAGTACCTATCAGGTATAGGACGCGGGGAATTTTAATTAAGAGTAAATATTAAGCTACTGAACTGGAGGGAAAATCAGTCCTTAGCCTCATACACAGTCTGAGGAGGAGAAACACTGATAAGGTCAAAAGAGGAGTGTGGAAAGTACGGGGATAGAAAGCAGTAGGATGTGAAAAGGAGAGGAGAGAAGCAGGTAGCAGTTTACAGTGATCATATCAAAATGGAGGAAATGGGGAACAGCTAGTCTTACAATGTTTTGTTTTAATATGCCCTACATCTTGATTGCAGCTTAATTAGTCCCCCAGTGTGTACAGTATCTTGTTCTGATAATTCCAGGGTTGTGGGACTTGTTTTTCCTTTGCTTTCCTTTGTGTAAGTTACTAAGTGTTTCTCAAACAATGGCTCAAAATTTGCAAGAGCTTGCAAAAAGATTAGGGAATGGCTCAAGACATAGACAAGTTTAAGAAATTCTGCCTCCTGTTTGGATTTCTAAGAAGTTGTGTGAAGATCTGAAATGAGATCAAACTTTTAAGATGCTTGTGCCAAAGTTACATCCTTGGGGTGTTTAACAAGTCAGTAGGAGTTCTGTATTTTAGCAATGTACCCATGACTTGCTTATGCTGCATCTTCCTAGCCTGCATCCCTTTTCCCCCGACACGAAGAGAAGCTGGCATTAATGTACTGTGTGCCCATTTACCTGCAAGTGGAGGCACAACAAAGTTAGCTACTTCTGTTGGCCATGAGGGTCCTGATATTAGTTAAACACCTGAATAACCATTATTCGTCAGGGGTGGATGCAAGCATGGTCTTTAGGGAGGTTTTCAAAAGTGGTGAGCCTGTTGTGAAGAGCTCAGGCTGAGCTTCCAGAGTGTCACAGAGCATAACCCTGATGCTTTTGCAGTAACTTTAGAGCTAGATCAGTATCCATACTTCCCTTAAGCGTTCCTTAGTCAGCTGGACTTAACATTCAATGGACTAACTTGGGAGGAGTTTAACCAGAATGGTACTAATCTCCTTCGTCACATAGGAAAGATGGTTAATAATTAGGGTCAGAGCTAGTGTCTTCCCTCTTCCTAATTGCTGCTGCTTCCTGAGCCCCAGCATTGACTCTTGGCTGTGGAAGACAGAAGAACAGTTTAAGAGCAGCTCTCCTCCACTCGGATTGCCAGATTTGCTACTGTCAGCAGAGCTGTTGTGAATGGAAATAGCACCTGCCCTGTTCCTCATACGCCAGCATTGTTCCTTTTGAAGACGGGCTGTTGTTAATTACAGTCTGCCTGGATCTGGCTCTGTTGGATAAGGCAGGCTGCTAACAAGCAGCTGGAATAAGATGAATTTTGTCTTTGTCTTAAATGGGAGTCGTCTTTTGCACCTGGCATCCCAGCTCATTGGGTCTGCCCTGTAAGAGGGTTAAGCCACCCGATAGAAAGTCATCTTTTCTCCCTAAAATCCTCAGTCAACCTCTTTGAGTGGAGATAAGGGTGCTCTCTTCACTGAAAGTCTGCGCTGGATTTGATTCATCAAAGTTGTGCTCCACTCACTGTCTCTTTTACTCTTGCTCTTTAGTTTTAA